TTGAGTTGAGTCTCTGGTTTTTTTCCCTCAACATGTTTCCGAGGTCCATGCAAATTGTTATAGTATCAGTAGCTCCTGTCTTTGTATGAATAGGCCACAAGTTGTTCATCCGTTCATCCACTGGTGGAGCTTTGAGTTATTTCTAGAGCCTTTATGAGTAAAGCCGTTATGATCATTTTAAAGACTTCATTTCCTTGCGGCTGTGCTGGACCTTCATTGCTCCCCGGGCTTTTCTCTAGTTCCGCTGAGCGGGCACTACTCTCTCGTTGCCATTCGAGGGCTTAGCGTTGCAGTGGCTTCTTTGGTTGCAGAGCTCCAAGGCACGCAGGCTTCAGTAGTTGCGGCCCCGCGCTTCAGAGCGCAGGCTCGGTAGCTGCTGGCACATGGGCTTATTTGCCCTCAGGTGTGTGGAATCTTCCCAGATCAGGACTGAACCCATGTCTTCCACATTGGCAGGACTGAACCTGTGGTGGGCTACAGGCTGTCACAACTGAGTTTGCATGTGCACTTGTGTACATAGATACACACACACCCCCACACACACACGGTAGATGTATGTTCAACTGTATTTGTCGTCGTAGCTGAGTCGTGTCCGACTCTTCGTGACCCCATGGACTGTAGCCTACGAGGCTCCTCTGCCCATGGGATTTTCCAGGCAAGAGTACTGGAGTGGGTTGCCATTTCCTTCTCCAGGGGATCTTCCCCACTCAGGGATTGAACCCGGGTCTCCTGCATTGCAGGCAGACATTTTACTCTCTAAGCCACCAGGGAAAGCTACCAAAAAGTTTTCCAGTGTAATTACGATGTGTGCACGCCTCACCACCAGCACATGAGAGTTCCAATAGCTCTGCCAGCACTTACTATTGTCAGTCTTCTTTTGTTTTCCATTATGATAGGTGTACAGGGGCCTCTTGCTGTGATTTTAATTTTCATTTCTCTGATAAGGAATGTAGAGCACATTTTCATATATTGGCTCTTTTGTGCAGTTTGTCTAAGTCTTTTGCTCATTCTTTTTTTTTATTGTGTTGTTCATCTTTTATTGATATGAAGGAGTTGTTGAAATATCCTGGATATGAGTTCTCTGTCAGAATCTATGAATATTTTCTTCTTTTGCTTTTTCCCCCCTTTTTTGGTATGGAGACAAGAAGCGAAGGGGGTGAGGAGAGGGCCCTTGGGGAGGGGGATGGTAAGTGTGGTCAAGGAAGTCTCCGAGAAGAGGTAACATCTTGTTGGACCTTTTTTTTTCTGGCTGTACTGCATGGTTTTCAGGGTCTTAGTTCCCCAACCGGAGATTAAACCTGGGCCCACAGTAGTGAGAGCAGAGTCCTGAGCACTGGACAGTCAGGGAATTCCCTGGACTTTTTTTTTTTTTTTAATTGCAATTTTATGACACATTTGCTGTTCTTTTTTCCTCCTTAACCTTATATAGCAAGCATTTTCCCACATTACATGTTTTTTTTTAAATGTGATTTTTAGAACTGTATAATGTTTCATCATACAGATGTACCCTATTTTCTTTAACCAGTTTGCTGTTGTTGGGCCTTCTTTAGGAAGCTGCCAGGCTTCACGTTGCTCTTTTTCTGCAGTCCTCCTTAGTTCTTCAGGGCTGGTGCACAGAGGTGGGCTCCGAGGAAAACTCAGAGCGGCTGCGGCTTCTCGTCAGCTCTTTGGGGGTCTTGTGGCTCCTTCTCTCCGCTCCTGCTCAGCCCTTTATCCCTGAAGCCCTTCTCTTCCCAGGCTTTCACTGCTCTTTTTCATCTGCCACGGTCACTGCCAGCAAGGCTGAGGGCCTTAAAGAGTTCCCTGCCTGCGGTGGGGACCCGGCAGCTGGTGAGTGCTGGCAGCCCCCCATCCATCCCTGGAGCCTTCCCAGGCCTGTAAATGGGGAGCAGGTGGGGCTGGCTGCTGGGAGGCCGCCTCCTGAGCCCATTCTCCTGCAGATGCCCTGTGATTATCCCAAGTGGCAGAGCCCAGCCCAGGCACAGCTGGGCACGATGATGACTCACCAGCCCGAGAGTGACTCGGGCTTTTCACCATATCACCCTTGAGAGCAGAGATTAAGTCCCGTCCCCCACCCCCGAGCTGAGTCCGCAGTGTGGGCAGGAGGCTGCAGCTCCACTCGGAGTTCAGAGGAGATGGTGTCGATGTGTGCGAGGAGCCGGGGTCCTGCTGGGGCGTTTCCACTTGTCCCTGCACCCGGCTGAGCCTGGCGTCCGCCCATGGTAGGATTAGTTGTTTTCGTGGCTTCTACAGGGACACCCTTTACCCTGGGAGTGGCAGCGGGCTCCCCATGTGAGACTTTGGGCAAGTTACTCACTGGCCTCATCTTTCCCATCAGTGGGGATGGTGGTGACTCTTGCTCCATGGAGTTCAGTCATGTGCCCAGCAAGAATGCACAGTTTCAGGCCCCCAGGATTTAGAGGTACATGACTGCTGTGTGGTGCCCAGTGATGGGCAAAGACCACAAGTAAAGAGGGTGGTGGGAAGGGAGGCCCCAGGCTGTGCTCAGGGCTCCACTGGAGTGACCTGAGGTGGGGAGGGGCCCTGCATCAGTGCCTCCTCTTCTGGGGCGGCCCCTCAGAGGCCCCCTGTCAGTGAGACCCCAGAACCGCAGATGTCCCAGGTGGGCAGGGTCTCGGGGAGCTATCCCATCCAGCCTCCCGACCATCTGCAGTGCAGCTGTTTCCTGCTGCTCACCGCTTTACAGTCCTTCTAACAAATGTTTGTAGAGCGCGCCCTGTACCAGGCACCCAGGATGTGGTGGGAATAAGACAGCCTGGGTCTTGACCTCTGGGAATGTATCCTTCTAGTGGGGCTCAGCAGTCAGCGAGCAAGGAAAAGCCATGGTGATCCATCAAAGTTCTAAGCATGTGAAGAAAATGAAACAAAGTGATGAGGGAAGTGCCTGGACGTGGCAGGGTGGGGCTTATGTGGTGGTCCAGGAAAACCTCACTGTCCAGGGAGCAGTGACGTGCTGGTTACCAGCAAGAGCGTGGCAGGACTTCCCTGATGGTCCAGTGGTTAGAGCTTCCACTGCATTGGGGGCACAGTTCAATCCCTGCTTAGGCAATTAAGATGCTGCATTCCACGAGGCATGGCCAATAAAAGAAAAAAAGAAGAAAAAAAAAACGAGGGTGGCACCATGTGAAGATCCTGGAAGGGAGTGTGAACTTTATTCCAGGTGCAGTGGGAAGTCCCTGGAGGTTGAGTGGATGGAACCTTTACAAGCTTCCCTTCAGCGGGACCCAGACTGACCCAGGTACTGCTCAGAAGCTGGCGGCTGAGCCTGGAGGAGGAGGAGGTCTTCGCCAGCCTTGCCCCCCACCTCGCTGCTCCTGTCCCCGCTTGCTGGGAAAGACGTCCAGGTTGGGGTTGAGGCTGTGAGAAGCCAGAGCCTCTGCCAGTTTCCAGAGATGCAGGGGAAGTGGGTGGGCTGTCAGTCACTCTTCATTGGCTGCGGGGCTGGGCGGTGCGTGCTATGCAAATGAGCTAGAAGCTGGTCTTCTGTTTGGAGTAGGAACCCAAGGGTGGGGGTGCCATGACGGCAGGAAGCTCACCCAGGAGCCACAGGAAGTCAGCTTCCCACACCCAGGGCTCTGGGCTAGCGGGAGAGTACAAAGTCTGGCCACACTACGTTAGCGGTGGTGGGTTCTTCCATCCCGAACCACAGGTCTCTTCACTCTGTCCTTTTCTCTTATCCCCCAGAATCCTAGTAACAATGATGGGTTGGGGGAGGCAGTGGTGGATGATATTTAACCTCTTATTATGTTGTATCCATAAAATGGTAAAAGGGTGGACTGCATGGCTGTTAAATGACGCCGTGATTGTAGATTTATTGGCGTGGAGAGGTGTTCACAGTTAAGTTCAGTCATGTCCAACTCTCTGCGACCTCATGAACCACAACACGCCAGGCCTCCCTGTCCATCACCAGCTCCCAGAGTCCACCCAGACCCACATCCATCGAGTTGATGATGCCATCCAGCCATCTCATCCTCTGTTGTCCCCTTCTCCTCCTGCCCTCCATCTTTCCCAGCATCAGGGTCTTTTCCAGTGAGTCAGCTCTTCACATCAGATGGTCGAAGTATTGGAGTTTCAGCTTCAACATCAGTCCTTCCAATGAATACCCAGGACTGATCTCCGTTAGGATGGACTGGTTGGGTCTCCTTGCAGTCCAAGGGACTCTCAAGAGTCTTCTCCAACATCACAGTTCAAAAGCATCAATTCTTCGGCTCTCAGCTTTCTTTATAGTCCAACTCTCATATCCATACATGACCACTGGAAAAACCATAGCCTTGACAGGCTATGGTCAAGAGCTAAAGGTCAAGACGAGATAGACCTTTGTTGGCCCAGTAATGTCTCTGCTTTTTAATATGCTGTCTAGATTGGTCATAAGTGGTTAAATAAAAGCAACTGGCTTACAAAACAGTAAGCAGAGGATCACATTGTTACCAAGTATATGGAGTCACATATTTAAATATTGTGGGATGAAAAGTAAATATTAAATGTCTGGGTGGTAGGATTGAGATGGTTTATACTTTGCCTTTTTGACAGTTTTATTGTAGTATAACTGACATCTGATAAACTTCACGTAAGTAAAGGGGGCAACTTGATACGTTTTGATGTATGTGTACACCTGTGAAACAATCACCTTACATATGTGTGCATGTGTATGTGTGTGCATATGTGTGTGTGCATATATGTATTGTGGTCATGCCACACATCTTGTGGGCTCTTAGTTCCCTGGCCAGGGATTGAACCAGGCCCTCAGCAGGGAAAGCATGGAGCCCTAACCCTGGACCACCAGGGAGTTCCCAGGAAAGCATTGAACTGGCCAAACCAAGAGGGAGAAGGTTCAGTGCCCACCTCCAGAAGGCTGGGCCGTGGCAGGCAGGCCTGTCTGGAACGTTGAAAGGGAGGGCTGGAGATCCAGTGGGACTCCAGGAGGAGAGCGCAGAGGAGGCCCAGGGCTGAGGCCTCAGAGTCTGCTTGCTCTTCCCCAGGTGGCCTCTGCAACCTATGCGCCGACAGGGCCAACAGGGAATACATCCTGCAAGCGGGGGGCGTCCCCCTCATCGTCAACTGCCTGTCCAGCCCCAGCGAGGAGACCGTGCTGTCCGCCGTGACCGCGCTCATGGGCCTGGGCTCTCCCGGCGGGGGCTCCCACCCCGAGCTGACGGCCCTGCCTGTGGTCCAGTGCATGCTGCGCTTCTCCCTGTCGGCCAGCGCCCGGCTCCGAAACCTGGCCCAGATCTTCCTGGAGGACTTCTGCTCTCCCAGCCAGGTGGCCGAGGCCCGCAGCTGGCGAGCGGATGCCGCCCTGGGGATCCCCCTGCCGAGGACGGAGGCCCCACAGCAGCCCTGACCCGCTGCCCGCCAGACGAGACTGAAACCCTGGTGGGGGCTCTGGGAGAGGCGGAGGCGGCGGCGCGCCCACAGCGCACCCTCTCCGCTAACGGCCCGCGCTCGGCCGTTTTCAAGGTGCACTTTCTCCACGGCAGGTATTTGCACTGTGATGAAAGGCCCCTGACGAGCGAGGAAGCCAGGCCTTGAGACGCGTGGACGGGGAAGCCGAAGATGCTGCCGTTTTCACGGGCCGCTGCTCTCAGCCTCGTGGAGAGGCCCTCGTGCCGGCCCCCGCCACCCCCGCCGGGTCCCACCCTCGCGGAGGAAGCAGCGCGGTCCGTGGACTCGCAGCCTTCACAGGTGTTTCTCCTGAGGAACAGCTGGGCCTGGAGCTTAGGAGAATTGCCTGAGCTTGAGGAAGGAAGCATTCTCCCCAACAGAGGTGTCTGGAGTCATTTTGAGACGCAGAAGTGAGAAGCCTTGTTGTTCAAAGTATATCACGGCTTCGGGAAGCTGAGGGTGGTGGTGTGCCCCTATCTGTGGAGGCTGGGTACCTGCTCCACAAGCTCTCCAGGTTGGGCATTCGGCCTGGTGGATGCTGGCCCTGAGAACTCTCTGGCTTAACTGTTGATCCGCACAGACCTGTCAGCCAGCCACCACGCTAGGGCCTCAAACACCAGAGTGTGACCCCTGCTGTTGAGAGTCCAGCCCAGTGACTTACGGTGGCCATGAGGGTGACGACACGTCGGAGGACAGGCACGGACTCTTCGAGCAGTGTCTCCTCCCCTCCCCACCCCACGGTCCCTGCTTGGAAGCCCTGGCCCGCCTTCTCTGCCATCAGGGTTAGTGGGGTGGTGGGGGGGTCCCTGTGCCCGGAAGCACGTCTGGGGCTCAGGAGGGCCTTGGAGATGCAAGTAAGAGGGGTGCTGAAGGGAGAGGGGACCAGATGCTGACATAGAGTGCAGGGCTCAGAGTCCAGTGTCCACCGCTCAGCATGGGGAAAGGGGTGTGGGCCCCCATGGGAAGCTGGGGTTTGGGAGCAGGGGAAGGTCCTGGCCCCCCTTAAGGCTGACCTCTTACATGACCAAGGAAAGGTGGCTCCAAGAGGAACGGTGTCCAGGTGGACATGGTGGTGGGTGGATTGTGGGACTAGTGGACTAAGGAGCCCAGAGGGAGGGAGGCGAAGGCCTCCTCGTCAGCCTGTATTCCCGCTGCCCCCCAGAGGGTCCTGGCCCTTCCCTTTCCCAAATAAAAGGCCTTAAAAGAGCAGTGAGCCGAAGCATTTTATTTAAAAGGTGCCTGTTCTCCCAGCGCGTTTTTGGCTGGCTGCCCTGGGCGGTTCCAGGCGGCCGGCGCGGCGCTGCGCAGGGACTCGGTTCTGCCAGACTTCCCTGTCTGTCTGCCTCGCCCTCCTTCCAGCCGCTGTTGGCGGCCTCATTGCTGGGGCAGCCCCAGGCGGTCGGGGTCCAGCGGCAGGGCTCCCCGCTTGCTGTCTATAATCTCCCTCCAGTTGTCGCTCCAGGAGCGCAGCCGTCTCCGAGGCGGGGGCAGGGCCAGGTGCTGGTTGTGGCAGCAGGTGAACAAGATGTGCTCCCAGCTGGGGGTCTCCTCTTGGCCTGGACGGGGAGGCAGAGAACCTGAAGTCCCTAATCTGGTTATCTGTACTCTCTCCCCCTAATCCCAGCAGGCCAGATGCCTGGAGGCGGCTAAGGAGAAAGGCTCCCCACCTTGAATGACCTCCTTATCATCAATGAGTAGGTCCCCCGAGATCACGGTCTTGTCCCTCGTCACGATAATGCGCTCCACAAACTGGGGTCCCAGGTGCTTCTCCACCCAGCGGTACTGTGAGGTGGGCACAGGGTCAGCAGGGCAAGATGGGCCCCTGAACTCAGGGCCAGTGGGTGTGAGGGAGGGTCTACAGCTTGTGAGAGATACCCCCTCCACGCCTCCCCCCCCCAACTTTCTGTGTTTCTGTTGGGGTGTTGGGGTTTTTTCTTTTTTTTTTGGCTGGGCCATGCAGCATGCTGGATCTCAGTTGCCCGACCAGGGATTGAACCCCTACCCCCTTGCATTGAGAGCACAGAGTCTTAACCTCTGGACTGCCAGGGAAGTCCCCCCGGTGGCTTCTTTTAACAAATCAGAACTTAGGAAGCTAAGTTCGCCTGTGGAGCGCTGGGGCAGCCGCACCTTCTCGGCCACACAATGGTGGTACTTCATCAGAGGACTGGTGCAGATGAAGACCTGGGTGCTGCAGGGAGGGGGCACGATTAGACGGGGTGGTGCCTGCCCCTGCCCCCCAACCTCCACTCCCTGCCGCCCTTCCTCACTCTTGCATGTCATTCATCTCCCGCATGGCTTCCAAGGCTCCAGGGATGGGCTCCAAGTCTAGGAAAAAGCCTGGGGCTTCAAACACAGTGGTCACTTTGTCCTGAAATATACAGCATTTCCCGTACTGGCTCTCCTCGCAGCAGACCTCAACCCCCCCCCCGCCACACACACACACAGCGAGGACTCTCAAAGGTGAGGTTCCTAGGGGGCTTTGGTCCCCAGATCAGAGTCCCGGGTGGAGGATTTTGTTTTAACGGTAAGGAAACACCCCCAACCCCCAGACTGTCTAGTCCCAAGTGAAGTGTGGATTCTGAAGTGAGAGCTTTGTTCATTTTAAACAGGAAGGTGTCGATGTGGAGCAGAGACAGTCCTGACCCAGGGGAGGCTCCCCGTCCCCGGATGTCCTGTGGGGTCGGAGCTCCCCGCTCCCGGGGCGGCCTCGCGCCGCACCCTTCCCATCCACCCGCTCCCTACCGCCAGGTCGGGGCGCAGTGCCCGGTACTGCTCGCGCACGGAGAAGCCGCGGCGCCCCTCCAGCGGCACGTGCGGCTCCCCGGGGAACCGTTGGAGGAACCCCCGCAGCAGGCCGGCCTCGAAGTCCGCCAGCACGCAGTCCATGTCCACCAGCACCCGCACGGGCCGCGCGCGCCGCGCCGGCATCCCCATCGCCAGCGCCGCTAGGCAGGCGACCCAAGGGAAAAGCGGAACCGGCCCCGGGAGCGCGCGGAGCCGGGCGCGGGAACGGCTACTTCCGGAGCCGCGGCGGGCGGGGCCGGGCCGGGCCGGGCTGATTTGCTTGGGCGCCCGGGTGCCCCGCCCGCGGGAGCCCAGGGCCTTCCCCAGGGCCCCCGACCGGACGTGGCGGTGCCTGCGCCCCGCGTCTGGTCTGAGGGTACGCCTGCGTGGACATCAGCCGCCCTCCGCTCCAGACGGCCTCACTCACCCCCAAACGTGACTGGGCCAGACCTTCTGGGGGTCCCCTGGACTATCCTGAATACTGGGGAGCGTCGTCTTAAACCTGTGGGCCGGCTCCGACCTTCTCAGAACCCACACCTGCTCACCCCGCGGGGACAGGAGAGCTGCCTCCCGCGGCGTGAAGGCAGCACCAACCCAAGGCCCGAACCGCGGGGACCCCCAGGAGCTGGAGTGAGTGAATCTGAAGACAACAGGCTCTTGTGAGTACAGTTCCTCAGAGATGAATTCACAAACCAGAGTTGGCTTGAAACATGGGAGCATCTACTTCAAACCTCCTGTTCTGCCTGGAGAGGCGATTTTCCACCAGGCTTGGTAATCGGGACCATCCTTTCTGTGGAACTGACTTTTCTCTAGAATCCTCCTCAATTATATCCTCTAAGAAAATGCTGGTCATGGCTAACTTTTATTGACTCAACTTTTTGTAGATTTCATGTAATTTCCTGAGTACAAGTAAAGATGCTGTGCTTAGTCTGTCGAGTCCGACTCTGCGACCCCATGGACGGTAGCCCGCCAGGCTCTTCTGTCCGTGGGGGTTTTCCAGGCAAGAATACTGGAGTGAGCAGCCACGCCCTCCTCCAGGACATCTTCCCAACCCAGGATCAAACCAGGTCTCCCGCATTGCAGGTGGATTCTTCACCGTCCGTGCCCCCAGGGAAGCTCACGTGTAAATATATTTACTACAAACTAGATTCAGATTTCGGTGACTGACCCATCTTCCTGTCGTTCCCCACCTGAACACCCCTCCCCTTCCTCATGCTTCTGTTCCATTGGGTTCTAAACACCCCAGTACTTCTAAATGGAACAGAAGCATGAGGAAGGGAAGCCTGGTGATCTAATTTTAAAATGCTTAAGAAGTAGACTAGGTATTAGCAATAAATACCAAGCCACTTAAGTCACTGTGTAAAGAGCCGAGACTGTCATCAAAATGCTGACTCTTCTGCCGCCATCATTTTAAGTTCAACTTCACTTTCTAAACCATAAGCTTTCTGAGTGGGAAAATTCAACACGCTTAGCAAACATGTTTATGAAGAATTTTAAAAATCTGTAATGGTGCCAAAAAGACTGGCAGAAGTCCCTCACAACACTTTTGGACTAGGCACTTACCTTCATAGCACAGAGAGCTAAAGCCAAGTTCCAGTTATGACACAAATCACGGGGCTGTCTTTCCCAGGTCTGCCCAGTTACTGAGACAGAAGGGTGCAGGCTTCCTGCCTCTTTAGTTGTAACAGAAACCTTAACTCAGGTTATTTGTAGGATTAATCTGTTTCAGTGAAACTGGAAACATTGTATAGCACAACTGCCTGTTTTGCAAAATAATAAGAAAAACAACACCCCCACAACCTATGATTATTACCCTTTTTCTTCCCAAAGATATGCTTATTAAGTCAAATGAGCTGGTGGTTACACACCAGGCCTAAGTCATTTCAACCATGGTGGGGGGTGGTCAAAGTTGACCTGTTTCAAGTCTTTTTTTTTTTTTTTACTTTTTGGCCACACCTCTAGGATCTTAGTTCCCCAACCAGTGCCCCCTTGAAAGCATGGAGTCTTAGCCACTGGGCTACCAACGAAGTCCCCAAAAGTCTTAAAGTTAGCAATCGACCTTCCAAATGACAAGCCCAAGGAACGCTGCTGATTAGCAGCACGGGTAGACCAAAAAGGCCGCCGGACAGGGCCCAGTTTGGACGTTTAATACCTCGATCTGGAACTCTCCCTAGAACCCAGTGTGCTTCCTCCAATCTCCTGTATCACTTGACAAGACTCAGATGACCTTGTCCCCTTCTGGCTACATGTCCCTTGTTTTCTTTGGAGCCCTCTCTTTGATCACTCACCATCCTGTAGGCATAAGATAACTTAAAATTTTAATATCATATCACCCAGCAAAGGAGGGTAAGTGGTAGAAGAGTCCAAAGTGTATTGGCTAATAATTGTTCTGGAAGCCAGTTATCTGTATTACTCCTGTCTTTTACTGCCAGATGTCAGTTAATGTTCATTTTGGCATTCTGAACTCACGCTGACTTTAAACCTGTTTTCTTTAGAGAAAAGCCCACTTCTCTCTAGGCCTTCCCTTAAGTCTGTTTTAATTCGAAGGGCTCATCAATTCATTGGCTAGCAGGGTTGTTAGTAACAAAGAAAAAAACTAAGCAGGTAGAATTGCTGAAACAATCTCAAAAAGACGACACAGGACACAGTGTTTCAAAATTTGTACATCATTTACTTTAAGCAACAGTCCAGGATTGTGAAGTACAACACACAGTTTAAGGATGAGACTTTCGTTTCATGGTCAAGCACCAGCATCATGCACACAGCTTCAAGTTATCTAAGAAGAGCACTGCCCTCAGGGGGTCCCTTCCCCAAGAAGACCCCACCCCTGCTTCACCACCTGGAATTCATCAGTCTGAGTGAACATCGAAGCCTTCCTCTGCGTGGGAGCAGCAGGCTTTGCTCAGCCAGTCATGTTAAGTATCTGGCTTAAATATATCTTAAGGTTCAGAAATAAAAGGCAATTTTTTGTTTTACTTTTTTTTTGTTTTGCAGGCGGCAAGGCAGAGGGCACAGGCCTTTTATCACCCCATGTGGCACAGGAGGATGCTTTTAGCAAAGGGCACCGACCAGTTAGGGCCACAGCAGGTAGGTTCGGCATCAAGACGACCTTGTTTGGGGCCTGAAGGGACGGCGCCTGTGGGCTGTTTACTGGTCTGTCCGATCCAGGCTTGGTAAACCCAAGTAAAGCTGACCAAAAAAGGGTTTTAAAAACCTCAGTACAAAAGATCCTCTAACACATCTGAAACCAAATTGTTTGTTCTTAAAAACACGGTACTAAGTGTCACAAAGCTTTCCCTCCAATCTACTACTAGAAAACACTCATGCCAAGGCCTACAGACCCAGAGGAATCAGGACAGACAGAGAACCTGTTCTTCCAAAAAATAAAAATAAAAAGACAGCAGTACATAAAGTGCTTCTTTTTTAATGAAACAAATCCAAAAGATGTACAGTCAGGCTCAAGTTGTGCAGTTCACAAGCATGGAAAAAAACAAAGAAACAAAACGACAGGGTTCCGGGCAGACAGAGCTAACCCAGGACGAGGCTGGACTTGCCGCCAGGGGGGTTCCTCCGGGATGGCACAGGCGCCGGCGCCACTGGGCTGGGTACAGGGGCGGCAGGCACAGGCTTCTCCTCGCTCTGCCCCAGGCTGGCCTGCAAGTCTGTGTCCACGTTTTCTAGGAAAACAGCATGAAGTTAAGACTAGTAACTATTTGCAGTGAAGAGGACGAGTCTAAGTTTTTTTTGGGGGGGGAGCTTTTTGGAGGATGGTTCAAACCATGCCTAGAGCTATAAAGAAAAAAAAACAATTAGCACGTGGCCACTACCCATAACCGGCCACTGTGAGTGTTCTGCCGTATGTGTCCCCAGGTCTTTCTCTGTGTACATTCTTTTCTAAATTACATAAATATATGGCGACTTAAATATTTTAAATGAGAACAGCGCAGATAAGCTCTAGGTCCCTGACCACCACTCCACTTCTGGGTGGGTCTGCTCTCCCTATTCCCAGAGGCCCTACTACTAGTTGTGTCCATTCCTCTAGTCCATTTATTTGATGTAAGCTTTGTGTATTTTATTTCCAGCATATCACAGACAATCTTGTTTTTATTGTATTTAACATAATCGGTATCAACTTGTAACTTTTGGAAATTTACCCCCACTTATACACATGGTCAGGTGCTTCCCTGCTGGCTCAGTGGTAAAGAATGCACCTGCAATGCAGGAGACTTAGGTTCAGCCCCTGGGGCAGGAAGATCCCCTGGAGGAGGAAATGGCAACCCAGTTCACTCCAGTAATCTTGTCCAAGAAATCCCGTGGACAGAGGAGCCTAGGGGGCTACAGTCTATGGGGTCACAAAAGAGTGAGACACGACTGAGCAACTAAACAACATACACATGGTCGTATTTCATCTTGCTTAATTCATTGCTTTCTAGTATATGTACAGTATATATGATTAATCCTCTACTTGAACTGTGGTGTTGGAGAAGACTCTTGAGAGTCCCTTGGACTGCAAGGAGATCCAACCAGTCCATCCTAAAGATTAGTCCTGGGTATTCATTGGAAGGACTGATGCTGAAGCTGAAACTCCAATACTCTGGCCACCTCATGCGAAGAGTTGACTCATTGGAAAAGACCCTGATGCTGGGAAGGATTGGGGGCAGGAGGAGAAGGGGATGACAGAGGATGAGATGGCTGGATGGCATCACTGACTCGATGGCCATGAGTTTGAGTAATCTCTGGGAGTTGGTGATGGACAGGGAGGACTGGCGTGCTGAGATTCATGGGGTTGCAAAGAGTCAGACATGACTGAGCAACTGAACTGACAGCCAAAAAGTAAAACCAATCTGACCATTCTGAAACTGTAATGCGTATACTCTGGAACATGGGCCCAGGGGGACACGCGCTGTCATCTTCAGTGTGAACAGAGACTGGGCACCTCCTTCCACAGTGGCGGTACAGGTCCACTCTAGCCCATGTCAGAGCATCCTCTCCTCACATCTGTCCACTTCCCCCACTTGATAACCACCTCAGCTTAATATCTGCCTAAATGCTGGGTGAAAAAATATTATTTAATTCTGTCATGTGTTAACGTTTCCATGATTAACGAGTGAGGCTGACTTTTTTTTTTGAGGTTGGCTTTTTAAAAACCATATAATATCCAGCTGTACAGACATTTATTAAAGACTCCACCCCAACCCACTGATGGTCAATTATCTTAATCCAGTTACTCCCATCATATCGACCCTGCCCTTTCCTCATTAGAGTCTTAAGAACCAGTGTTATTATCATCCAATGTCCTAGATACTGCTTGACTGATTCCCAGACTGACTTCTGAAATTCTCAACCAGCATACAGGAATCCTTAACCAGGTGGTTGCCACTGATTCAAATTCAAGAGTAATTGCAGAAGAAAAAAATGCATTATTTTCTGAAAAAGGTAATTTTTATGAAGAGTTTAAGGTATATCAGACTAATTAGTAATAATAATAAAAAAAATGGCCAGGTCTCTTCATTTCAGTGTTAAATCTTAAATTCTGTTGCATATTCTAACACCTACCTTGCAATAATCACACAGAGGCACCTTTAGTATAAAAAAACTAAGATATTTATAAGACTTAGAAGGAAAACTACCTTAAGGTTTAAAGACATTTATTCCCTCCTAGTTTAGAAGTTTCAAAACCCTGGAAGCAGGGAGGCAGAAATATTGGTTATGAAATATGCTATGTAAGAACTTCATATGCACTCATATTAGACACCAATGCAAAGTACTAACTCCAAAAAAATTACTCATTAAAAAAAAGTTCCTCATAAGACTAAACATTAAAGGTCCACATTGCTAAAACCACTTGTACTAAGTTTTCATTCAGCCGACTGAAACAGAGAAGTTCAAGGAGGAAGTCTTAGATCAGAAACATAACATCTCAGAAATATGCTACTGCTGCTTTAAACATTTCATTCCATGAATTTTTGGACTGTTCGATAGAACTGACTTCTAAGGCATATAATGTTCCATACTATTCAACTACAGGTAAAAATGTAGTAGGCACTTTTCAAGATGACAGCAGTCAGTTATGAACCGAAGCTTGGCGAGAAAGGGTTACCCGTCAGCTTCCTGTTGCACAAGGAACAGAACCAAATGCATCAAGACAAAGTCCCTAAGTCCTCCGACAAGTGCCCTTAAATAACCTAGGGAAGTATGTCCACTTTACTGCAAATACAAACAAAACCCAAGAACCCACATTTTAAAGCCATCCAAGATAGACGAACACAGACCATGACCTCAGCCTGAACCAGCGTATCAATCCAAGCTGTTTCATTTCTGCTACGAAGACAGCCTCCCCACTGGCCAGGATCTAACTGAATTCTCCACCATCTGGGCCAACCAGCTGAAGAACACTTCAGATGGACACAAATGTTACCCTGTATGGTAGTTTATTTCCATAAAGTGATTTTTAGATAAACAAGCTCATTCCTACCAATCTCATGTTTGCCTTTATCATTATGAATGGAGTCGCTCTGTCTTTCACAACCGGGCAACAACAAGCCAAAAGAGAAAAAGGGGAGGGAAAAAAGCACCTATGGAGACTACACGACTGCAGGCCGTAACCTAAATGCTCATTTGTCCAGTCAGAAATACTCCGGCCAGAGAAGATGGGAGGGTGGCTTGTTGCTTCCTTGAGTCTGTGATAAGTACAGGAATTGAGAGTAAAGCCTTTAGAAACTTTTATGGGACTTGACAGAACTTTGTCTACTGAATCCAGTAATTTAAAAGATATTTTTGTTTTTTGAAACAAAATTATGGCTTCTGCCATAATATACATCCTATATACTCCTTACTTTTCTGTCTTCTCTGGCACACCAGTAAGGTAACTGATCAGACACCAATGTCAGAAGAGAGAAAAAAACGATCCATCTAAGGATCACAAAATTAGAACCTCTAGAAAACACAACAGACTTGCCCAAAGGCAAGTAAGGACTTCTGCCCAAGCTTCCTGGACGTTCTCCCTCTTTCTTCAAGATTTCCGAAGTCCTCAGTATAGACATTCCTGTCTTTAATTATCCCAAAGATGAAGGCAGTATATCCAAGCAAGATCTGCTTTGTTTAACTGGGCAGAACTGGTTGGCTTTGCAGTGAAGCTGCTGACAGAACTGGGGTAGACTTTTACTCACCAGGCATGGTCTGAATCGTCATGCCCCTTTGTCATTTTATGACAGACGAGCTAAAAGTAGCAGCATTCAGGAGCAGAGAATAATCAGGTGCCACCGACGATCGTTTAAAAACCACAGAAAGGAAGGACTTGTCATGTTGTAAATGCAGTACCTGTGCTACTCACCTGGAGGCTGCGTATCACTGAGCTGGGGGTCGGGGGGAGAATTTCTTTTTTTTCAGTTACAGCACAAGAGTTTTATTCAGCAAAGAATAGTATACCCTCGAGGCATGAAGGCGGGCCGACCCCAAAGGACAGGCTAAGAGAATTAATTATCAGCAGGACAAATGACATATATTTTCATAACTTCAGGCTCTCACATACTGCTCTGGGCTCCCCAAATTTGTAATCCTACTCATTGACCAAAATTAGTGAATAAAGATTAGCTGCTTCGTGGGCCTCTCTGGTGGCTCAGTGGTAGAAGAGGGGAGAGGGGTTTGATCCCTGGTCGGGGAAGATCCCGCACGATGTGGAACAACTAAGCCCGTACGCCACAACTATTGAGCCTGTGCTCCAAAACAAGAGCAGCCACCACAATGAGGAGCCTGATCACCGCAACTAGACAACAGCCACCGCTCACTGAAACTAGACAAAAACCTATGCAGCAACCAAGACCCAGCATAGCCAAAAATAAATAAAATTGTATTTTTTTAAAAACATTAACTTGCTTGTTATTATTCTTGTGAAATAAGGTCTGACATTGGAAGTATTTCTGAATACAAAAAGCAGCGGAATCAAAAAGTCTAGAATTTTTTTTTTAACCTCCAGAACAATGTTTTTAAATGGAAGAAGCTAGACAGAAACAAAAACTAATACACCTTCAGTCCAATGAGAACACAATCTGTCCGCGGAGCGAAAACCCAGGTAGAGTTCACAACTGTTTAGAAGATTCTCCTCCCCTCACGCCCAGCGAGAGACAACGAGACAACCAAACAGGAATTTCTGTTTTCCTGGAAGACTGACTCGCCAAATGTAATGGCAGAAAAAAGCCTTGAGGAAGCGGCTTCGTCCCAGGCCGGCTGTGTGTGGCCAGGTCAACTTGAGCCTGATGGCTGCAGGCCAAACAACGCGTAAACCTCACATCACATGCACCGGCAATTCTCTGGCACTTGTTAAAGAAGTGCCAATAAATACTTCAAAGATTTTAAATAATTAAATGATTACAGTTCTTTTCCACTTATAATTTGACGATGTGGGTGCTAACTGAAAATTTACACCTGCCTGCTAAAGTCATCATTCACAAGATCACAGGGTGACTGGTGTCTTGCAGAGTAAGCAATTCAGTAGAAAATCAAACTGTGAATTTAATGCTGAGGTCTGAGCTTGAGATGCCAGAGACAGTTACTAAGAAGCTCTCACTGAGTGTAACAAATACCAACCTGATTGACATCCGTCTGTTCTGAAAGCTTTAGGAGGTTTCCAGCCTTGTTCTTGCTGCCGGCTGTGCTTGCTAGCTTCCATTTTGCTTTCCTCTCCCCTTAGAGGATGGACGCTGGCACCTGGGGCTCTGCCAGGTTCACTCTCCAGCCAGCCTCTTTCCCCAGGACATGACTTGAGTCAAAATTCAATCTATTCTAACATTTACAGAACCAGAAATTGGCATACTTTTTTCAGACATACTCACCATGAATGTCACCTTCTCCCTGGAAAAGAAAAAAGTTAAAAAACTTTACTTCAGATTTTAATTTGGCCACACACAAATAAAACAATCATAGTTCAGAGAAGTTACTGTCTGTCTGAAGACAGATGTCAAATTTTGTTTTGATGTCAGTCAAGTTCAAGGTCAAGGTGCCCTTTACAATAAGCAGCCTCTATTCAACTTGGAACAATGCTACACAAAAACGCTACTGGACAGATTGCCCCAGTGCCAGTAACATGGTCAAAACACCAAAAGCCTTCACACTGACAGTGATGACCTAATATCAGTTAGAACTTCAGAGGAGCTTTCATCAGAACGGGAAACTGGTAAGCCTATCTTTCCACCCCCTTTCCTTTCTTTCTAATCTAGCTGTTGAAGGGCCTTCATCAATTCCAAAGCCCTTCTACCAGTCTCCCCACTTTCAGGCAGCTCCTGTCTCTGTGTGCCCCGAGGTCCCCGCTCGGGGACATCGCACAGGCTTTCCAGACAAACGCCTGGGGCCTAGGGGCCATGCTCATCTGCAGACAACCGATGGTAACACGATGCTACAGCCTCCTGCAGCTGAGCTCAAAACAACAGGCAATATTTGCCAACAACTAAAACATCCTTGACTTCAGATATGCCACTATGTGTGAGAGACACAGGAAGTGCGAGTGATCCGGTTTCAAAAATCAATACTGAAGGATAAAGACTAACCCAGCTGGTAGCAGAGACACATGAACAGACCAAGGTCACATGAACTCATCTTTCTGATCTACTCTATCAATCTCCCATCACCAGTACAGCCAGTCCCTTCCCTAATTACCTCTCTGTATAATAAAACTCCAGTGGATAAAAACCTAGTGGGAGAAAAAGTTCGGGGATGATTGGATAAATAATTTAATAGAGGCTCTTTGCCCTGGGTATTAACTCCAGGGATCGAGATCATAAGCAAAGCCTTTAGGGAGTTAGGATAGACAGATGCCCTTTGAGAAACTGTTGCTAGAGTGATACGGATGATGATGGATGGGAAAGATTCATGGAAGTTACAGGAAAGTGATGTCTAAGAACGACGCTTATGCCCCTGTCAGTGACCTCCTCCTTACCCCTGCCCCACCGCCCCACCCCTCTCCATTTATGCTATTTTCTCTTTACCTGTATTTCTATTTACTAATATTGTATTTTTTGATGTTATAGTAAAAATTCAATAAAAATTTAGTGGTTAAGTGCAAAAAAAAAAAAACAAGCCCCCAAAACTCCAATGGCAAGTCTCAGTACAGTGGAGGAAGGGCAGGAGGAGGTGTGAGAATTTCATTTCTAAAGGGTGTAAACCTCAAAAAGCCTGTCTCTCCCCCTATATTGTTGCACTGACCTTCAGATCTAAGAAGTCTCCAGAGTTCGCTTCAGAAGAATTCCTTCTCTGGGGTCCAGATGACTCAGAATCTTCCCTGCCCCCACTAGACTTGGCACCTGAATCAAAATATACTTTCAGGAGGAATACCAGGGAAGACCTAAAGCAAGCCACTATTTAATGAGTTCACATCACATGACAACATGAGTCAACAGTGTTAGGGCGTGACGGCTAATAAAAATGCCTCAGAGGGGCCACACAAGCCAGCCTGATGGCTCTCCTTGCTCTTGGCCACCACACCGACTCCCAGCATCTCCCCTGTCTTAGCCCTCCATCTCTTCTCCCATGACAAGCTTTAATTGTTTCCCGTGATTAAGCTAGATATTACTCAGCAGCACAAAACCAGCTGCGGTGGTCCTGCTGGGCCCACCCCTGACCAGAGACTAACAGTACCTGCCGACTTGGCCCAGGAAGGGGGGTTTTCCTCAGGCGTCCCGAAGATGCTGGAGGCCATCTTGTTCCTCCTCACGGGTTGTTCTGTTGGTTCATCAAAACCCAACGAAAAATTGGATCCACCGCCGGGAGGCCGCAAAACCCTAGAAATGATGGCGAAATGTCAGTTTCAGATCAGATCAAGACGTTTCCTGGTACGTGTTTTCAAACACCTTTCATTTTAGTTCCCCCACCCACTGATTCCACACACACACACCCTGACAAAAGAGAACTGTTAATGGGAAAATTACGAATTGATTCCAATGTGGTATAAATTCAATGATGGACCTTAAGGTGGCAAGGTTGCGCACCGCCACCAGGCAGCTGAAACAGTCCGAAAACACCAACAGCAGGCTGGACGGCATCCCCTTTTAGGAAAAGGCCAGAACCTCATGGAGCCTGTCTGCTAGGCTCAGCTGGACACATTCGCAAATTAGTTTAGAAGCACATCTTGTTATTTATTTTTAAAAAAAAAAAGGTTCCATTTTTATTTCCAACAAAAGATTTTAAATGGAAGAGTACACATATAAAAATAAACTTGACCAATTTAGAAGCCCAAGGAAAGCTCGTAATCGTCTCTCCCACCTCAGCATCATTCATAAGCCGTTTACACACACGTACCTCGCTATTCTCACTAACGATCGTGCATGACCAGTCACAAGGAGACAGTCAATCAAGAGTTAAGTGTAGGACTCCGTGACATGCTCTACACCCATGAACCTTTAGACACCAGCTATAGCTCTTGTGTTTGACAAGGAAATATGGCACTTTTCCATTTCTAGATCTTCCGGTCACAGGTTGACCAATTTGTCCCCTCCTTGAAAAAACTCAATTTAATTTGTCCTATCACTACTCAAAACAGAAAATGGAGATGGTTTCATGGGAAGATGTGCTAACTACAGATTCAGTTCCTTTATGGTGATGGGAGTGGTCTATTTTTCTGTTTCTTAAGTCATTTTGAGTAAGAAACATTTCTCTAGGAAGATGTCCATTTCATTCAAGTTTCCAGATAAATCCAGTTGTCATTTGTAAACTCAGCTCCTTACATTTGAAAGGAAAGGGAAAATTAAACACTTTAGGCATAAATTCTCTTCTAAGTACCCCTCCAGAGGCATCCCCAAGTTGTGATTTTTGTTTCATTCTAAATATTTTCTCATTTTCATTATTTTCTTCTTTGACCCATAAATTATTTAAAAGTACATTTGTAAATTTGCAAACATAGGTCTTTCTGGTCTGATTTCCAGCTTTTCTTTATAATACAGACGGGGTCTGTGTGACATGTTCCTTTGAAATGTGATGTGTTTTATGGCTTCATTTTATAAATCTTCTGTATATGCTTGAAAGGAACATATACTTGCCAGTGTTCTATATGTATACTAGATGAAGCCTATTAATTGAGTTGTTCAAAATCTACCGATTTTCTATTTTGGCTGCGCCACATGGCATATGGGATCCTAGTTCCCACCAGAGATCAAACCCACAGCCCTCCACACACACTGGAAGCACAGAATCCCAACCACTAGACCACCAAGGAAGTCCCATCAAATCTACTAATTTTTAAATATGTTTTATCAATTACTGAGATTCTGTTACCAACTTCTACAATAGGGGTTTTGTCAACTTCTCCTCAGGACTCTGTCAAGATAAGAGCTCTCTCTCAAAAAGACCACCACTGGAGTATTTTATTTGGTTCAGTAGGGAGAACTGTGATGGATTAACTGGCCAGTCATTTTGATTAAAGGAACAAACCAAATATATATTCCTAAGTCACTTCATTTACCACAATAAATTCCAGCTAGGTCAAATATTTAAATTTAAAGCCTAAGACAAAAATATTGGAAGAAAACACATACAAATATGGTTCTAGTCATGAAGGCTTTCCTTCTAAGCACAAGATGAAAGCCAGAAACCATGAAAAATGGACAGATTAAACTTGGCAAAAATACACATATTTGACAAAGGATAATAGAATTGCTTTTAAAATAATTAAAAGAATCATGAGAGAAATTAAAATGGACAAAAGGTACTAACAGACAATTAAAAAATATGGACAGTCTCTAAACATTAAAAATTCAAATTCACAAGCAAGTAAATTAAACCTAAAACAAAAGAACATATTTTTTGCTTATTAGGTTGGTAAAGATGAAAAAAAATGCCAATTTCTGGTGTGAATTAAAGTGTGAGAATATAAATTTGCACAAACTTTCTACAGACCATTTTGATAAAATCTATCAAGTGTTTAAATTTGCATCTTCCGTGAACCAGGGAGGGGGTTCTACTTCCATAAGTTTTCCTAAGTAGATAAGCAGACATATGTACAAGTAAACTTGCAGATGCAGGCTTGGTTAGGCCTAAGCAGACAGAAGCAAACTGCTCGGACTTCCCCTCTCAGCTGTATCTAGTTCTTACCATCTTCTCCAACCCAGTCAGGCCACATTCTTCCCTGTTCTGTGAACTGTTCTGCCTTATCTCCACCTCAGAATATTTACTCCCATATTTCCTCCTGCCCAGAGCACTTTCCACCCTTTCCTCAGTGACTGCTTCAAAATCCAGCCCATTTCTTAAACCTTCTCCTCCTCCAGGAAGCCCTCCATGACCTTGAGGAATAAGCAGTAGGATGCCTAGAGGAAAGAATGTTAGATACCCTCTCTTTCTGGTCACCAGTTCTTTCTGTAAAGGACCAAACAGTAATTATTTTTGGCTTCTGGGTCATTCGTTTTTTTGCAGCTATTCAGCTCCGAAACACAGCACAGAGGCAAGCCACAGACAACGTGAAAACGAATGAGGGCAGCTATGTTCCAATAAAGCTTTATTTATGGACACAAATTTGATTTTCATGTCATTTTCACAAGTCATGAAAGACACTTCTTCTGGCCTTTTTCAGCCACTTACACTGGTAAAAAGCAGGTGCCAGCTGGACTTGGCTGTAGGGTGGTAGTACACTGGGCTCTGCCTCATTTTTTAAAAGAACAGAGTCAGGCCCGGAGAAGTTCTAAGTGAATGGCCCGACTTCAGTTAAGTAACAGAGCCGGGGCCAACCCCCAAATCACCCTCCCTGCCTGGCAGGCACATAAAAAGGGCTCAAAGTGAAGTAGGGGGATCACTCCATACCATTTTCTCTTTAAACTACAAACCTATATAGTTGGTGTTCTGATTGCTTTTCATGTTTTCTACACTGAATATATTTCTTATATAGGTCCTCTAGCATCCTTCCCTAGATCTAATATTCATGTCTCTCCATAGTAAAACTCAGTACTCAATTTACACTAAATTTAAATGTCATTATTATTTTCCAGGGGTGGGGGAAATCCATTGTGTGCTTTTATAACATGTAAAACATGTAAAAGCCCACTGTTTGTAAGTCTCCCATATTAAATATTCACTTAGATTAAATTCATTAAATGAATTAAGAAATCATGTTCAGGCATACCTCTTATAATTTGGGGTCTGCTAATAAAACTGTTTAAATAATAATTAAAGATATGTTACAAATTCTTAATAGTCATTCTCTATGTTAAAGTTGGAAGTGACTAGGCTTTTATCATTTGTACCTCAAATCAACAGACACTTGCAATATTATAATCAAAATTAGCTTCCTTCAGAGACTTCCCTGGCAGTGCAGTGGTTAGGGCTCCATGCATCCACAGCAGGGGGCAAGGGTTTGATCCCTGGCAGGGGAATGAAGATTCCCCCCCTCCAAAAACAAAATTGACTTGTTTCACTGTCATCCCCTTCATTCCCCAGAGATTAGAATGATTTTCCTTACTATCATAATTAAATTCTCATGAATTATTTCAGCCAGATGAAAATCTTCAAAACCCTAATAGGCCAGGAAATTTTTTTTTTTTTGACCTTAAAAAGGGAAAAAAGACACTACAATCCGATCACCAGCTTAAAAAAGAAAGTCAAAGCTCTGACCGGCCCAACTTTTTAAAGGTCTGTGTCCCTCCTGCAATAGCAGGTTCTACCTACTCCGATGACGTCAGTGTTGTGGAGCCCATTTGTAACAGCGAGACATCCCCAAACAAAGGATCTGGATCATAAGAGAAATTATTTCAATTTTATTTTCTAAGATCTGCTATTCTTCCTGAACTATGATAACAAGATCAGAACTACATATCTGAGACTCAACAAGAATGTGTCCATGAACTGCAGGTAGCAATTTTCAAATAATACTCTATTTCTTTCTTATCTCTTTAAATCCCAGAGTTCCCATATGAGCTTTGCAGATCATTCCCTACCAGACTAAATTTATAATGTGTTTATGGAACCAAGAAACTGTTACTGGAGAAAAGAAGTTTAAGAGAATTAGGTGAGAAGGAAAGGTAGGAAGTAAATAAAAGGACAATGCTACATAGAGTCTTAACAATATTGGAGGAAAACTGATGACAAAAGGAGGTTAAAACATTTATTTTGCAAAACCAAAAGTCATGTATGTCTCACATTTCAAAGCCACAAATCAAAAAACTAGTGATTCATTTCACCTGGTTACTTAAATTCTTTATGAATTCGGCACTACACTGCACTCAACCCCAAAGGATAAAAACCTCTCATTTTTTAATAGAATGCTTGAGTTTTCGCATTCCAATCACTACAGTCTGGTCAGCATAAAGTTGACCGGAGGGCACAAAATGAAAAACCAAGGTTCAGTTTGTTCCAGTGTCCTCCGGAAAAAAAAAAAAAATCTCACTGGAAGGATGACAAGAGCAGAGGGAGTGACCCGGGTTGGCGTAGGTCTATCTACTCAAGTTCCCCTTCCTCCGAGCAGCACACTGATTTCGTTTTTAAAATCCTTCCTTCTTTTCTACATTTGAAAAGGCAACGAAGGAGTTGAAGAAGAATGTCATTTCCAACACTACCTCCTCGGCCTCACTGCCGAGGCCTGATTTTTGTCCCCAAGGACTCCAGCCCCTAAGAGACACTGCTCTTCCACGGCTGTCTTCTTAGCCCCACAAAATGGCTCCCTTTGTGCCGCTTGCCCAGGACCCCAAGGCTGCCCACACATGACGGCGGGTCGTGATCAGTGAAGAAGAGAGGCTCAGAAAAAGTGGAATCTAAGCGGCCTCCAAGCCTTGGGCAGGATCCCAGAGACGCCTGTGTCCCACCTTTAAGAACAGCCTGCGTGCAATTAGCCGAGACAATGTGGACATCTTCCACCGCATCCAGAGCCTTCCACCAAGTTAGACAAGGGCTCGGAAGAGAGGCACTCCCAGTCCACACACCGTGCCCAGGGCCCCCTTGCCTGGCTGCAGTGGCATGAGTGGCCAGAAAGGCCCGGGCTGCGCAGGTGGAGATAGTACGGAAGAGACAATGGATGTCTCGGGCCCCGCCCAAGAACAGGAAACCTTCTCCATCCAGCCCGGGAACCCGGGCCAGAGGTGAACTCATTTGGCAAACGTCAAAGGGGGAAGCGAAAGAGGTGGGATGCGAAGACCGAGGTCCGAAGGTTTGAGCGCAGAAAACCCACTTGGAACGACACGCTTCCCCTCCCATTCGGAAGTGGGCGCGGGAGGGGAAGGAGCAGGGGTCTTTCCTTTGTTAGCGGAGGGGAGGCACTTGGCGGAGGGTTTACGGTTGGGTCCCGAACGGGGGCGGGGATCGTGATGACCAGCCCCGCCCGAACACAAATGCCACCTGCCAGGCGGACCCAAGTGGGCAGGAGCCCGCCGGACCCGATCGCTGCGGCTGCAGGATCTGACCGCCACGCCGGGCGCGGGGCCACCACCTGCTCCGTGTCTAGAGACACGAGCGCGTGGCCGGGGGTGGGACAATGGGGCCAGATCAAGGTGCCCCGAGGGCTATCCGCACACCTGGGGCCCAAGACCACCGCCCTGGGGGCGAGCCGGCCGCGCCGCAAAAGGCAGAGAGCGAACCCTCTCAGCACGTCCCGACTAACGAAAACCGACCGCGCGGCGAGCGCGAGCGGCCCCGGCCCTTCCCAGCCACTTGCTTCGGGGGAGGAATGAATGGGAGAGAAGCAGGAATCGGGCGGGGCCGGCGCGTCAGGCTCGCCGGCCGCACAAAGGCGGAGCCGGTGGCCGAGCCCGGCCACTCGGCCGGGCGCGAGCGCAGCGCCCCGGGCACGTTACAGCCAACAACCGGCCACCAGACCCGCCCGGCCCCCTGGGCAGCAACCCTCACGCCCCGGAAACTCCTCGCCTCACCGAGAGCTGTTCCTGCTGTTGGGGTCGACGCCCTTGAAGGTGGTGGTGGTGGTCATGGCGCCGAAGAGCGAGGTAGGCTGGCGCGGAGCAAAGCGCTGAAAGGGTCAGGTCGGAGGGGCGCAGAGAAACTCTCCACCCAAGAGTCGGCGACCGCTGCAGGAGCCTCCGCCGCCGCTTGCCGGCCGGACCACCGCTTTTATAGGGCTCGCAAACCCCCGCCCCCACCCCGGCGGCATTGGCCGATTCAAATGAACCTGTTCACTCCTATTGGCTCCCTGGAGTGCCAAGCATCCTGCGGCGTCACGACAGGTTGAGACGGGCCCTGCTCAGCCTAAACCCGCCCCCTTCCTGATCAGGGAAGGTCTGGGGACGTTTCCCCTCCCCCACCCCCAAATCTCGGAGATGATTGGACAAAAGACAAACCTGTCCCGCGCTCCGTACAAGTTGTGCTCGCTGTCACTTAAAAAAGTTACCTTGATAGAAGGAAAAGCTCGCTCTGGGCTAGGTGGAAATCGCAAGTTGAGGATAGGTTTATCTACCGTTCATCTATGTTGCCTTACTCACGGCGGGTAGCAAGGGCATGCTCCTCAAGAGAGGAAAACGGCTGCTACAAATCCACGTTTATTGAATACCTACTGCTTGTCCTGCCTGGAAAACTGACAGTCCCAAAGCAGCAGCACTATGAGTCAGCAACAGAAAGCACACGAAGACGATCCCTTGTAAAACGACGGGAAATTCTTTACATTTTAATGTTACTATTTAGCTGTAACGCGTGGCGCATGCACTAAACCAAAATTACAGTCGTTCCGACTTGAGGGCCGGTTCTTAAGGCTGGTTCATGCCGGGCTTCTGGGAATGGCCACATCCCTTGCTACTAAGGCCACGGGAGTACTCCAGGCCTCTGCAGCTGTCATTAAGCCGTTAAGTCATGATCTCCCACCTGTCTGGGTAAATCTATCCCCACAACAAATGCAGACACACTTGCAGGGCTCAGGAATGACTGTTTATAAGATCGTAATAGCAAAGTCTTGGGCAAACCAGAGGCGAGGCCTTCCCGGTCACGCTATTTCCTCAAGGCAGATCTCTTTATTTCCCATAAGAAGTGAACTACATTCCTCTTTGTGTGGCCTCCTCCTTCCTGGCCATCTGTACTGGTTAACCACTCTCCTGGGTTTTCATGAAAAGCCAGAGACAAGCCTTCCTCTTCCGGAAGGCCTGGGTCATGTGTTTATGTGCTTACCACAAAAGCATGAAGCACACCACTTGTTTGGATTAAAATCTCTTTCCAAAGTCTGGACCTAAAGTTTCAAAACAGTAAAAACAAACCCCCCAAAAAACTCTTCAGGCCAACCTAGTGAGCATGCATTCCCCTCTTCAAAAGTCAGTTATTAATTAGGAGGTAGTGCAATATGGTGATTGTGAGCGCAGGGTCTCAAAGGAGAAATTCGGGTTTGAATGTCAATCTTACCTTTTCTGAGCAGTTTCATTTGCAAAACAAGGATAGACTAGTATCTAGACTCCATAGACTTGAGAAGACTGGATGAGGTAATGGATATAAGGAACTTGTGACAGATTATCAACATGATAGCCATTTTTATTATCAGACTTACTTGGAAAGTAACCACATTTGTCTTTAAACAATCTGCAAGTGGTTCTGTTAAGTTAAATGAGGGATTTAGACTTTCGCCTACATTTTTGAGTTTGTAGTGGTTTGCCTTATTTCCTCTGGAAACCAGAAAGTCTATGTTCTAGTTCTGCTTACTCCCGATTTAAGACACTTGTAAGTCATTAATATCCTTGAGCTCATGTTTTTCATCTGTAAAATGGGGTTAACAGCAGCTATTCTGTAAGATTTGGAATGAGATAATTAGGTACCCCATCCTGGCTGCATAACAGAATAATCTATGAGATTTTTGGAGATTTCTGGATACAGGATACAGCAGTGGATATCTGGAATAAACAGACAATTCTCATAAACATACAGCTTGGGCTGAGAACCTTTGCTTCAAAGGTAAGGAATCAGTTCCAAGAGAATCCTTTTCAATCTAATCTGATTTATGAAGAGTAAATTCACATAAAACAGACATCTGATGAAAGCCATCTGAGGTCTGTCTGTAACATTCCTTGTATTTTAAAGTAAGTACTGCCAGAAATTTCCAGAATAACTAGCCCTCCTATTTATTTGTTCACATACTTAACATTAAGTTGATCAAAAAGCTCATTCAGATTTTTCCACAAGCTGTTTTGGAAAAACCCTAAGAATTTTTGGCCAACCCAATAGTTTTGACCAAATTACCATACGTCACTTTCTGCTGCAAAATTGAGATTTGGGGTAAAAGATACGATATACAGCTCTGCTATAATCCTTGTTTCAGATGACCAACTAAGTTGAAAATGGGACATTAATCAAATTACATTTTTCCCCCAAAGATCAACACAGATCAGGATCAAAAGATGCAAAAGGATGGGACAATGTGAATATCTGCTTAGAAAGTCATGAAGGCCTATCATTATGACTTTTAAAATACACACAAGGGTCTGTATCAATACAAAATTTGCTTTAAATTCTCAGGTTAACCTAAAAATCTAAAGAAATAGAAGACACATGAAATCTTATAACAAGGAATGATCTCACAGCTATTTCAGGACCTACAGCAGTGTTTTTAAACTTTTATGAAGCAGAATCCAAATATATAAAATAGATTAACAGAACCCTGGCTCTCTCTGCTTCCCCCATCCTTGGCCACTCTCTACTTAGACCTCCTTTTTACACAACCTCAGGGTTCCATGAAATTTTAAAATCACTGCCCTATATGCATGTCCATTTTCACCTGCTTTTTACAGTTAATAGAAGAATGAGCAGTTGCCTCCACTTCTTTTTCAGCAGTACTCTTCAGCTTCCTGCAGTCCCAATTGCCACTTCCCTACTATATCCATTTGTACTAGTCTTCCATGTTCATTCACTTCAGGAAGCCTGGCAATCAGCTTTTCCAATAGATCTTCTGTTTGTTGGCATCAGGTCCTAGTTTTAGTTGCAGCATGTGGGAGTGGACCCAGGCCCCCTGCAGCCTTAGCCACTCAACCACCAGGGAACTCCCCCCAACAGATTTTTTTGGCCACTTCACACAGCATGCATAACTTCCACAACCAGGGAAACTTTGCAGTGGAAACTCAATCTTTAACCACTGGATCACCAGGCCTTTGTAAACCCAATATTCTTAGAAATTCCTTAGGACACAATCTATTGTTCTGAAGCATGTGGCAAAAAAAATCTTTAGTATTTAAAAGATGTCATAAAATGATTAAGGAAGGCCCTAATAAATTTTTATTTGGACAGGAGTCCTGTTGCTTTTTAATTTGTTGCTGAGGGTGTGGGCAGTTTTATCGAGTATGCAATGTACAACTTAAAATAGAAAAATCTGCTAGTTGTTCTTCACTACTTGTGCCTATTACAGATAATAAGTAAATTTTCACCAAATACAAAAAAACGCACTAACATAGCATCTCTTCATTCTCACACATTTGTTTGTGTCTTGAATGTTACCAGCTTTCCCATTACCAGGTAAACTGAGTCACCCATAATTTCAACTTGTCCCTATTTATTCCAAAATGCCAGAGGACATGGGCAATCGACATAGCGTCCTTACTGGAATTTATTCCACCTAGATTCTGCAATTGAGTTTGAATCAACCTCTTAGAATAGTGTCTTTCACTGTGATCCAATACACATGTATTAGGTTGAAACATATGACACTGCAGATATCTATTTTTGATCTACATGAATAGCAATTACATATGTTTAGCCATACTTTAATACATACTCTTAATGTTTTCTATTCCTTATTACTAAAAGGAAACACTGGTCATGTGCTTCTGAACTTGGTTGAATGACTTAACTAATGAACGGCCCAACAAGTACAAGTTTCACTTTCAACCGCTATTGCAGCATGCCCCATAAGTATATCACTCATACATACATTCTGCATCCATCACTCCTAGAGCCAAATTTAGTATGCATCTGTCCATTCTTTTCTTAGCTGCATCCTCACCACACAAAAAAAGAAAAAGGCAGACCAACACCACTGAGAGAAAAACAGCCCAAGGAGTTTATTTTCTCTTAAAACTCATTTGCCATTAAGAAAATCAAATGAACCAACCTAGAGGCCTCAAATATGGAAAATGGCCTTGTCATATTCTTGCCTTCTCCTTCTCCAAAGTTAAACAAAAAGGTATGCACACTCTACTAAAGTCTGACGTGCCCTCTGGTCATTCTGAAATACAAACAGGAAGAGCATGGTTCTTATTTCCCTATTTTTTTCCTCCTCCTCTCATACTAAGAGCTGAATAAGATTGTGATTTTTGTCTTCTTTCCCCAATAGCAAGTTTTCTATTTAATAAAAAAAAAAAAATCTAAACAATCTATCCTGTTCTAAAGTGAATTTAACCTCTTTTACAAAAGTAATTACTAAACTTACAAATATCAAGTAATTTAAAAGGGTATGCTCAGAAAATGGGAAAATTCTTATTAGTATTCCATGTTCTGTAACTTGTTGCAAAACGAGTCACATAATACTTCTTAAAGTATCTAGTGCAAAGAAAACAACCATTACATGAAAATTCTTGGACTTTTCACAAAGGTCCTAAGGACGTAGGAAATCCTAAAATGAGCTCATACACAGTCACATGTCACTGCTTACAGGGAAATAACACTCCACATTCCAAATAACAGATTAAATTCCTAACCTGTTTATATACTCTGTTCTAATTATGTTCCACTATTTTCATTAGTTAACCACTACACATACCAGTCTCAGTACAAAACACACATATTTCTTACTAAATCCTGAACTAACCCTCAAATCATCACCCAGATAATCAAAATGTTGAAGCATCTTGTGGATGGGTCCTTTGGTTCTAAAGTATTGGAGAATCATTAAAATCTTGAAGATTGTTTTTCCTTTAAGACTGGTTAGGGCACAATTTAGTATTAAGCATTTATTCAAAAACCTAGAGAGACAAAGACTATATTCAGTTTTTTAAATGAAAAGAAAAGTATAGATCAATTGGTAGTTATGGTATTCAGTTGATGCCCCAGGCAGAGCACTCACTGCATACTGAAAATAATTTTTATTTAAAATTAAACATGGAACTTCCCTGGTGGTCGTGGCTAAGATTCTGTCTTCCAACGCAGGGGACACAGGTTCGAACCCTAGTCAGGGACCCGAGATCCCACATGCCATGGAGCAGCTAAGCCCAAGAGTCACACTGAGCCCTCACACTCCAAACCCGTGCGCCAGAACTAGAGTCAGCACGCTGCAACTACTGAGCCCCTCTGCCACAACTTGAGTCCGTGCACCTTAGAGATCCTGCATGATGCAACCAAGACAAATAAATACATACAATTAAAGAGCTCAGTACATGGAGGGGATTGTTAGACAGCTAAAACATCTCATTTAATCTTCACCATGAGGTGCCTGGCTCTCAAGAGTTGTGAGAATGCTTCTCAGTTCCATATTGCACTGAAAATGCATTTCTGGGGGTAGGGCCCAGGCACTGGTATTTTTTAAAAGCGCACCAGGGTATTCTAATGCAAAACCATGATCCAGTCAGTCATATCTAAAAGCAGCATCATTCCAACTCAAAAATAACCCTCTGTGGCACAGCTGGCCCTCTCCAATACCCCTTAGCACCCACGAAGACCTTGGAAAAACTTTCCAACGGGCCTCCCTCAAATCCTGGGATTCCATCATCTTACAGACCTCCTTGTGTCACAATCCCCTACACAATTGCACTGACTCCTCTCCAGTTTCTCCTTGAACTGTTTACTTCTTCCTGTTCTATTCAACCTCACCCTCTTTAGACACAATGTAACCTAATCACCCCATTAATTTCCATGAAAACATAAAGAAAAACAAATACCTTTTGAGATCAAAAAGCAGCTTGTATGAAGGCTTCCCAGGTGGCGCTAGAGGTTAAGAACCCACCTGCCAAAGTAGGAGGTGCAAGCGACTAGGGTTCCACCCCTGGGTTGGGAAGACGGCTGGGAAGGAAACGGCAACGTGCTCCGGCACTCTTGCTTGGAGAATCCCATGGCCAGAGCCTGAAGAGCTCCAGCCCACGGGTCACAGAGTTAGACAGGACTGACTCTATGCAGACTGGGCTCACTCAGATACTATTCGCTACTTCCCAGATACAAATGTGCAGGTTATGCAAGCACAGCAAGGAAGTGCTCAGCAAAACTATCCTAACAGTAACCAAAACAGCAGTGTGACTCCCATCACTTGAACCTCTCCTCCCAAGCCAAAAGAATTAAAATGCTACAATTACTTTCAGCATTTTCAACAATGCGCTAATTTTCAAAGTGTTAAAAAGAATCCTTCCTTAATAAAGTTCTCTAGCTTGAATTTCAATCCTAACTTTACCTTTGGGGACAACAAAATTCCACTACTTAACAGTACCCAGGACAAGAGAAATGTACTTACCTGATCTAAGAATTCTTGGGAGCAGGCTTCTCACATTATTTCACAATATAAATTGTAAAAACAGGTTGGCACACTACACATACAGGAAAATAAAAACTTCAGTTGATTTAACTTACAAATAGTCAAAAATCTATGCAATTCCCGCTGTCTCTCGGAAAACTCATTCATTATAGAAATGGGGAATGTAAGACAGACCACATTGCAACAGAAGAGTCCATGATAGTTCATGCAGTCTTCATTCAAAAGGCCACAATTAGGCAGTAAGGGTGGGAATTCAGTTTCTTGAGGACCATTATTGGAAAACTCAATTAAGTCATCAGAAAACCAAATCTCCAGTCCCAGTTCTATAGCCATCTATTAATAACTGTGAGACAAATTATCCTCTGGACCTCAGCCTTCTCATTTTTAAAACAGGGTTAGAATTAGTGTCTTTAAATCTTTCCAGCTCCAATATTCTATTTATTGGTTCTGTAGTTGTTTTCTTTCCCTATACATTTGAATTTAAAAACTGTAGTGATCTGCACATTTAATTGCTATAAGAATGTGTATATATAAATAAAGATGTTTTCTGTCACTTAAGATCCTTAAATAAGGAACAAAAACTCTATTCTAGGTTAGGGAGTATTTACCATCAGACAAAATGAAGATTAGAATGGTGAAGTAGGATACATCAGCAGAGTCAGCAAAATTAGAACTTTTTCCTAGCTGTGTACTAACCAACTCTGCCTCAGGTAGTGGTTACAGAATACTTCAGAGTAAACCCAAAACACTATGACCCACTTTTTTGCTAGTAAAAGTTGCATACTTGGAACTGACTGAACTTTCTGAAAGGGAGGCTGAAGCATTCCTTGCTAGTCATTTATGTAACTTTGTTATTCTTTGTTTTGCATTAGTCTGCAGGAAATGCAAAGTTGCTTTATTTCTTCCTTGAAATGTTACTTTTAACAGGCCTATTCAGGTCATGTTTTTGTCTAAGCTTCAACTTTCTATTGAATATTCCTCAGAATAAAGAAAACAGCTCATTTTAAACAAGAAGTTTATTTAAACAACAAGACGCTTGACTTGAAGGGAAAACTATCTAGGATTCATTTCTTTTAGAGTAATTTATCCCTACTTAAAGACAGATTGCCCTACATGTAACAGCTACGTACAAAAAAGTTATAAAATTGTCCTTGGTTTTACAATGATAAATGAAAAACATTAAAATTCTCCAATCGAACAAGGTATGCAAGAATTTTTATGTTGTTCTTTTTTTTTTTGTTAAACAGTGAGAGCAAAATAACTTACTGGAATATAAAGATAAGAGCTGATGAGCATGCCACTAATGGAGAAAAGGGGGTATTTTCACAGAATCAGTATTTTTCCCCATCCCATCTCCATTTGATGTCGATCAAAACATACCATTGGCCATTTAGTTAAAAAAAAAAAATGCAATATGCTTGTGCACATACACCAGTTACTTTATGTACAATAAAGGAATGGGGAAGGGGAAAATGAAAGAATAGAGAAACTATACTGTAGTAGTCAGGATGTGGTGGAACCAAATTGCGGTTTTCTAATTGAGAATGTCTTCTTGGTCTGAAGGAACAGAATTCTGGAGTAAAGTAGCAGGTTCCCTTTTTAGTAGACACCTCCTGTCTGCTGCTGGAATACATCAATTGTATCTTCATCTTCCATCTCCAACTAGCATAAATGAGAAAAAATAATCCACCATTTGTTACTCATTTCTTAAAATGTGTAACTATCAGATTTAAATATACTGAATGAGTTCCATCCCTTCCAGTGTTATTTCAGATGTCCCACAGCTTAAAGTAGCATTAGACTTAGGTTTGAATAATTTTTCACTTGGGTCTTTTTTATTAACATTACAGAAAACTGAGTTTTTAAGTTAAAAAATGAGTATGACCATGAGTTAAATCATCTTTCATTACTGAAAATAAAAGTGATGTGTATGACGGATCTCAATGCAATGTTTAGATGAGCAAAAACCTGAAAATAACCAAATTATTAAAAACCCAAAGAAATATGGTACATGCATACATGAAATACCATGTAGCTATTATTAAAGAATAAGTAGATTTACACATGCAGAAAAGGAAATATCCCTTAGAGACAATATTAGGATAAAAAACAAAAAACCAGGCATCAAATACCATATAGTATTACATTTATATACAGTTTTAATTTTGTGTAAATGTGTGTACAACAAGACTATATCCTTGCCTATGTACAAAACAGTGGTTACCACTATGCAATGAGGAAAGGCATATGGGAAAAACAGACTTGCTAAAATCAAAAGGGAACTGTTTCTGACAAAGTTGAAATATAGTACAAGCAGGGTTAAAGTATTAAAATATTAAGTCTCAATTCTGTTTGTAAAATGTAGTATCATTCAGTTATAAGAATTCAATGAGTCAAAGAAAGTATCTAAGAAAATGGTTAAGTGCATTAACAATTATACTGCTGTTAAAACTGGCTGCTAAGATGTTCTAATTTATACAATTCTGCTACTTAATAAATACTGGAAGAACAATTCTAAAATGAGTCAGTATTATTCTAAAACAAATTCAATTCCAAATACTAAAATGATAAATTCCAAATTCAATTTGAAGATTTTATAAACCCACTTATGAACAAACCTTCCCCAGGCTTAATTATTTGCAGTTAGCATAATAGACAAGTTCCAGAACTTTTTGGTGGTGGGTGAGAGTTTCAAAAAACAGAAAATACATTATCATCAGAGCCCAGCATAATGGTTTAATTCTTAAAACCATCAAAACTGGTCTATCCACTAAAATGAAACTACTGAAATGTTTTTAAATTTTATAGTGAAAGTTTAAATGCCTTAGAAGGATACAGGAGAGCTTTTTCTCTCATTCAAGAGAATTCAGCTCCTCCTTGTGGCTACACACTATAATTGCTTCTTAGAGATTCACCAACAGAAAATAGATGTGAAATTTTTGAAGATTATCAACAAAAACAAAATCTGGATGTTCTGTTTCACTCATATTTATAACTTCCTATCTTTTATGGGGGTGATAAATTCAAAAGTACAAGGGGTCCAATTCAAATTTCTGCTATCAATTTCCCCCCACCCCCAAACTGAAGTCTTAAACTGAATTTCAGAAGGTAAAAAGAAACAAAGACAAAAAATTTCTGCTACAGAAGGTAGCCCAGTCGATTCCCTACAAACTGATAGAACAACTGAGATTATATGTAGAGATTAAGGGATCAAACAATTAATGGGTTTGGAAAGAGACCTACTATCAACAGCTTTATGAAACACAAGCTATCAAGAGACCTGCAGTTAGAACCACTAGATTCCCTTCAGTTCAGAAATATCCGTAATCAAGACTTCAAGAGGAGCTAAAATGGCTAGAATAGTCAATCACTTGTGAGAAACCCTGAGTGTGACTTAAGAGTTGCAGCAATGAAAACAGAAGGAAAACAACAATCTGAAGCAACAGACAGGAATTTTAATTATTTTCTTCCAAACGATGCTGGCAAGGGGAAAACTTGGATTAAAATAAAATGGACCTACTAGCTTTACTGAGTGATAAGTAGATATTAAAAAACCGGTGGCATTTCTTGAATTTATTCCTATTTTTTCTTTTTGTTCCCCTTTGGTCATATAGCTTTGAACTCTAGTAAAGAACTATACTCCAATGACTAGAAGTTCACAAATTAACAAAGCTGTTGAGAAAATTATGAACACATTGGTTTTCAAGTTAGCACAAAGAGATTTTTACCTGTGCAGGTGTGTCTGTTTCATTGATTGGCTGCCCGTCAAATCGGAATCTGATCTGCCTCATTGACAAACCCTGGACAAAGAGTTTAATAGCAATAAGAATGGAAAGAAACAGTTAAGATTATGTTCAAGTTTCCATATCGGTTAAGTGATTTGGGGTGATTTTTACTTTCTCTAAACTATAGTATGTTTTTCATTCTATTACTAGAGCTTAATTAATAAGTTATATTACTAGAGTATAACTTCAAGAAATTTTTAGGTGCATTTAAGGAGATAAATGAGCCTAAACATGCAACTTTCTGCAAAGGGGACTCCAACTTATTCAAGAATTACCTGTCACAGGGGTGGGGAGGGGAAAGGAGCAAAATAATGAAGCTGTTGGTAACTGCAGCCAAATGAGAGCAAGATAGGAAAATAAAGTATCTTTGGAGGTATGCTGTGAATATATTAACTAGAAAAATAGCTTTCTTGGAAGCATCTTACACAGTCATTCCTGTATCATGCACAAATTACAAACTGTTAACTCTTGCTATACAAACTCTTTGCTTTAATATTTAAGAGAAAATTAAACTGAGTTCCTAGGGCTAAAAACATTGAGACCAAGTATTCCATAAACACTTGTTTAACACCTGTATTCCCTTATTCAAGGGATTCACTTATTCGCTGAATTGGTCTTTAAAACTACCTGTAACATACTGCTTTCCTTTAAAACTCTAGTCTTTGACACATACCACCCACTTCCAGACTAGCCCTTGTCTTGAGGAACACAACCAATCCCCCACTAGGTAGGTGACAGCCATAACCTAATTCATTCCTCATGACTTTCAAATTTAGTTTGTGATTACACAAAGCAACCAAGAATCCAATGCCAAGCCATTACTACTATTACATATTTACAAACACTAGATTGGAGACTACTGCTTCAACAAAACACTAAGCACCTTTTACATGCCGTGTTCTTCCCTCACTACATTGACTGATAAGGACATAAGGTCAATGGTGTGACCATTCAAAATAAGGAGGGGGGAGGGGAAAGGCAGGACCAGGAGAACACAAGCAAATTGTACTCCTTTATTGCCACCTTTTTATGCTTTTCCTTATCAATAAAAGCTCTTTTATTTTGCTAGAGATCAAAAGTCCAAAATTCAGGAAATTGGCTTTTAAGATTCCATAAACTATGTAAATTTAAACAATGAATTTAAACTAAACCAGTATTTGGTTTTCTCTTATGTATAAATCTCAACAGTGAGCTTTAGAGTTGTGCCCCAGAAGAGCTGTGTGAGGTTTTCTCTACATGTTCCCACTTCTTCATTTCACAAAAATGAACTGGACTAAACCAATTATTCTGGGCTCTCTGAAATTACTTGACACCCTAGAGAACAACTAGGGTTAGGGTAAATTTACAGTAGAATGGAATACTATGCTCTCAGTCATTTAGCTGAAGGATCTGTGGCTGATATTAAGTGAGCAAACTAATTCTACATGAATGAAAAACTTATCTAGAAACCAACCTCTAGAGATACTAGTCTGAATCTCTATCATTTTATAAGCATTTGAACACATTCTATAAGCCAGTACTGGTCCAGGATCTAGAGAAACAGTGACCAAAACAGCCTGATGCTCATGGAGCTTACATTTTAGTGCAGAGACAGGTAAATACAATAATCAAAGAAAAAAACATCAAAACAAACAAAAAAGAGAACTGAGTGAACCAGGGCACTTTGAAATCAGAGAAGTCCCTGAGGCAGTAATCAAGTGTAGAGTAAAAATGATTGAGAGCTCAGCACTATCCAAAAGAAATACTGTGTGGGCCATCCATGTAACTTTTAAGTTTTCTAGCTGCCACACTAGAAAGTTAAAAATAAGTAAAAGCTTAATAAAAATATTTTAACTTAACATAATTAAAATACTATCATTTCAACATACGGTCAACATTTTAAAAATTGAACCTTTTGTCATACCGAGCCTCCAAAATCTGGCGTTTTACACTCTACAGCACATCTCAATTTGGACTAGCCACATTTCAAGTGGTAATCAGTCACATGTGGCTTGTGGCTACTGTATTGAGCCAAGTTTAGACAGAGAACAGAACTGGGTGATGGATTTTGAGTTATGATGCATCATCGAGGAAGATCCTAAGGTTTTGGCAACTAGATGTAAAATGATGCTATTTACTGCGTGGGGACACCACAGAAAGATTTCTAGTAGAATCAAGGGTCCTCTTTTGCATGTTAAGTCTGAGATGCCTAGTAGGCATTCACTGGGACTCCTCCAGAGATCCAATGCCAAATGAGTGCATTAGAAAGTAAATATGAGCATTCAATTAAAACCCTGATGGGAAATTCTTGGTCTTCTTCCCCACCTGCCAAAAAACTTAAGCTCTGCAAATTAAGATGGGATAAATACTGAGTTTTTTTTTAAATAATATGTACCACACTTAAAAAGCAGAGACTCAGTCCTCTTCCTTAGAACCAGAGAAACTACTCAAAAAGTAAACAGGGAACTTCTTTCACACAAAACTTTGAGGTTATCCCCAAATTAAGAGGAAAATGGGAATAAACATCTTTCCAAAACCTTCCTGGATAGTATCTTCAAATCATATTTGCATTCCAACAGATATGCAGTAGAATTATATTCTTTATGGATTGCCAATGTTTTTTCCTCTAATGCAAAGTAAGAGTGGTCTCAATACGTTTAGTCAAATATAATCCCAACCTTATGCCTAATAACTGAGAAAAATCAAAGAAAACTTTAATCTGGGCAGTACAGTAGATTTATTTTAACGCAAAAGAGAAACTAAAAAATCCTTCATTGACCCACTAACTGACCTTATAGGACAATTCCCTATAAAAGGAAAAATCTGGAAAACAGAGGATGCGCTTTACTTTTTCTGGGACACAGTATAATGCCCCAGCTTATATGATTCTGGCAAAAAAATATATATATGTAACTGTTAATTGTTAATCTAGGGGGCAGACTCATGGGTATTCAATGTATCCTTCTTTAAGTTCAAAAATTTTCACTCCAGTTTTAAATGAAAGCTAAAATTTAATAGCAATCAGAGAAAAGTTAGGCATGATATGCAGAGGATTTTGTTAAAAGTTATCAAATCTAAGCAGGAGTTTCTATTTTGTATAAAGTTGTGCTACATAAAAGTTCCACCTTTTAATATTCCCCTGTAACCTGAAGGGGTATTATTGCTAAAATACTGTAGATACTCTTTAGCATAATTAGTAAGTATGTATTTACTAATTGTTACAGGATTTAACCAAAATGCTTCAAATAAAAGTACACTGAAGGGTGTATCTTTGTAAAGAATTATGAAAAAACTTACCTATATAGATAAAAAATTATAATCACAGTATTGTTATATAAGTACATTAAAAAATTATAATCACAGTATTGTTATGTAAGTACATTAGGCATAAAATAAAGCTTCAAACTCGAAGTCTTTGGTTTCTTTAAGAAGCCTTTCAATGTCATAAAGGAGACCCAAGTATCAACTCGAATTCAATCTCCCAACTTGCAGAGGCACCCCTCGAAACCTGTAGAGATTTTAACTTTATTTTGAACCTATTTTTAGGAGGTGAATGTGTAATGTAGATAAATTGTTTTAATCTAACAAAATAATTCTCCAAACTTTTATATGTTATTCACCCAGGGTCAAGCAAGAAAAATACTTACTGTTGGATTAGATGTACTAGTTCCTGCTATACTTGCAAAAGTCAACTTTAAAGTTGTCTTGTAGTATTACAGACTCAACATCACAAAAGGAAGCTTTTTTGTCTTAAAGCTCACATTTACCTCCTAGCATCTGTTGATTTCTACTTCCTCTTCTTGATGTAAAAAATTTACTATTTTCTGAGTAAAATTCAAATGTCTTTAATATAGGAATGTTTACACCTGACCTCTACTATCAGTGTAAAACGAAAATATTACAACTTTACATGCTTCAGAAAATTTGCCATGTCCTTAAACTCACATTTAATTTTATTTCCAAGTTGGTTAAAATACTCGAAATAAACTGTTTCAACACAAGACAAATTTTAAATTGTCAAAAAAGGGCCTGACAAGAATGCATTATAGCACAGAACCAGAATCATGTATATGAACCGTCTTTCATGAAAAAGATGGTTTCATGAAAAATCAACAAACCAAGTGTATGATAAAACTCTGATATGTCAAGTATATAAGTATATATATATTCTACCAAAAACAATCTATTGTCATACTATACTGGTTTCTATTTCTCAAGAAAATGTTTGTGTTTTTTAAAATCCGTTTTATTCTGAGGAAGTACACATGTCAGCTCCTCACCTGTCGTTCACAATAGGCTTTCATTAGTTTACTAAGTGGTGTATGCCTCTTAATCTTAAACTGCACCACAGAACCATCCTGCCCCGCCACCTTCAAATTAATATGATCGTTGTTCTCAGTCTTGACTCCTTCCTGTTGGGAAAAAAAAAAAAATTAAAGTATAATTTGGAAAACGTAAAAGACAAACACCTTTTAAAGAAGCAGCAGCCCAAGTCACATCAGAAATCAACAGGTTTCTCATTCTGTATGACAACAGAACATACAGCTGTTTTCAGCTGCTGAAATCAATCTGAAAGATGAGAAATCCTGAAGCAACAATAATAGCTGTCGCAGAAACAGAAAAGCAGCCTACTTTCAATACTATCAGTATCAACGATCGATTTTTAAAGATGTACCCCCCTTTAATTTACTGCAACGCCCTCTGATTCTGAGTTTTAAAAAATGACATCTCCCAAAATATATCTTTGCTCTAAAACGATTAACAAGCATCCTTTCTCGTTTTAAAGTGCTTCGAGTACACAATGCAAGAAACAAAAATCTAAAGCTTACAATTCAAAACTCATCACAAATCTCGTTAAAAAGTTAGCAAACTAAGTTTACTAACAAATTTCAAACTACATTAAGAAAACAAACAAACACCTAACTGAGGAATATCCTTTGATTCTCTCCGAAGCAACAGTAATAACTCAAAACCACTATTATTGTTCGCCTCTATGAGCAGCTTCATTTTTGTTTATTTTTAGTTGAGAGCTTTTTCTCCACTCCCCTCTGTTGTCATGAGTCAAATGCACAGTTTTATTCCAAGTCTTCCTCGTAGATTTCGACAAAATCTGAAGTTCACCAAAACCAAGTGCAGAAAGAATTCTGTAGCCCCTAAACCACTTCAGAAGGAAAGGGGATGGCGGGGGGTGGGGGTCACAAAACCAACCAAAAGAAAGTCCCGTGTGCCAAGAAGAAGTGTGCGCCCTAGTCCTCCAGGGAAAAGCCTGGTGCCTCAAAACTCACGTTAAAAAAGTTAAGCCCTGCAAAGTCTCTCTGCTCGTACATCTGCCTCTAACTTCTCCAAACCACATGGTCTCGGCAAGTTAAGGGTTACCTGGCACCCAGGGAAAAGCCCCTGCCCATCCCGACAAAAAATGTGGGAAATACTCCCCGGGAATCCCCCAACCCCTGCCCCTGAGGAGGGCCCGACGGGCATCCGGCTTCCAACCCATCGGCAGCCCATTGATTCGCCCCGAGCCCTCAGCGGGCCAGTGCGGCCCGGGGCAAGGGTCCCCAAATGCCTGCGGCCCCCACCCCCGAGCGGGGAAGCCCTGGGCCGAGGGAACTCCTCGCCACCGCAAAAGCGGCAACACCCGCCCGGGCGCGGGGTCCGCCGAGGGTGGGGACACCGCGCGCCCTAACGCCCCTCGTCACGCGCGCCCGGCCAACCGGGCCCAAGAAGCCCCGCTCGCGGCCGGTGGGCCCGCGGGTGTCCGCGATTAGCCCGCCCAACTCGCGCCCGGCGCGCACTCCGAGGCGGCCGGGGGCGGGGGAGGGCGGCGGGGCCTCCTCCCGCGCGGGCGGGAGGAAGAGGGGAGGGAGGAAAATGGCGCGGAGAGCCGGGGCCTGAGCCGCGGCCGCCCCGTGGGGGGCCCGGGAAGGCGCGGGGAGCCCGCGGCGGGCTCAGGCCGGACCCCGGCCCGCACCGTGACCCCGGCCGCACGGCGAGGCGCGGAGACCGGCGCCGAGCTCACCTTGGGCTTTTCGTCCGCCATGGCGAGCGCCGGAGTCTCCTCAGCTGCCGCTTCACAAAAGAGGTACCAGGTCCGCACGGAACGAGCACACAAGCAGCACCAGGAGCGGCAGAAGAAGGAGGCGGCAGCGGTGGAGGAGGGAGAGGGCGCGCGCACGTCGTGCGCTCCCTCCCCCCACCCTGCGTGCGCGAGCCCGAGTCACCGAGGCTCCTCATTGGCTGCCGCCTCGCGGGAGCGCGCAACGCTTACATAACCACCCCCAACCCCCGCCCCGCGCCGCCCCGGCCTGGCTCCGGCGCCCGCCAGGCCGGCGGGAAGAGGCACGGACACGCGCACCCGGCCCGCCGCGGGGGCGCGCCTGGCTCTGGGCGGGGCTGTATTGTCCTCCTTCTGTGGTGGAGCTTAATCAAAATGGCTTCCAGCTGGTCCTCGGTGGGGACAAGGAGGCTCGAGGCCTAGACGTGAGACACAAGCCGGGGAAGGCAGACTGACTAGACGAGGCAGGGGGAGCCACAGTCAAAGCCCCAGCACGAGGTTCGGGGCAAAGAACCTCTCATTCGGTGGCCCAAATGCAGCTTTCCTCTGGATGAGAGGAACATCACACTTCCTCTCAGTCAGCCTCTCATCCCTCGAATTTTAAAGCTTCAGCCTCAGCCCACTTTCCACCAGGCTCGTGCTTTAGTGCTTTGACTACTTCTGTGCTGCTGAAAACCCCGTACTTTGCTAGCTGAGGGGAAAAGGTTCAGCCTACAAACTCCTTACTCATGGCCTGGCTCCCAACTTCCAAGAGGATAAACAGCATCCATCAAAGAAAAGTACCAGATATCTAGCTTCCAAACCAGTCAATCATTTCCTCCTCCTGTCAGTTTCAGAAATAGAAGTAGGTCCTTCTCATCTTAAGAACAATCCTGACATCTGTGCCCTGCTTCTCCCCATAGGGTTTATTGATTCTTTGTCCTGTATTTTCCTCCACTCCCTGGTTAGTGTAGAAAAAGACTCTTATTTCTAGTTCCATCTAAAGTTACCACCGTATCTCTCTCTGTTCTTGGCCCAACATCTTGAAAAAAATGTCCACACCAGCTGTCTCCACTCCCTCACCTCCCACTCACTCCTCAATCTACTGCAATCTGGTGATGTCCCCATGGCTCCGCTGAAACTGCTCTCTACAAGGTCACCAACGACTTTCCTGCTGAATCCAGGATGCTTCTCAGTTCCTCACTCCTTGAACTCCCTCCCTGTGACTCTGGGCTGGCCTTGATCCCTTTGCAGTTTTTGTTTCTGTTTTTTTTTTTTTTTTTTTTTTCATTCTCAGCCCTTCCCTTAAAAGTTCCTTGGATTTTGTTCTGAACCCGTTCCTTTCCCCATTTTGTTAACTCTCCTGGGATGATTTCACACCACTTCTGTTACCATCTATTTGCTAATGATTCTCAAGTCTAGATTCTAATCCAGATCTTTCTCCAAACCTCCAGCCTATAAATCCAGTTGACTTCGGAACATCTCCACTTGAAGGTCAGAGGCACCTCTAACTCAGCCAGTCTCAACTAAAATTCCTCAATTCACTTTTCCGAATGGCTCTGTCTTTCAAGCTCTCAGGTCACTGTATGACGCACCATTACCACCGTTACAACATTACTTTAAGCCAGAGAGCCAGGGGGCATCCTTGACCCCTTCACACACTTCCTGTACAGTCAGCCCCCAAGCCTTGTCTATTCCCCCTTTCAAGTACCTGTCAGATCCACCTGCGTCTCGTCTACTCCGCCTGCCTGCTTCTCTTCAGCCTCTGTCCAGCCTTTGCTTCCCTGGTGGCTCACGCCTTAAAGCCTCTGCCTGAAATGCAGGAGACCCAGGTTCAAGCCCTGGATGGGGAAGATCCACTGGAGAAGGCAATGGCAACCCACTCCAGTATTCTTGCCTGTCCAGTCTTTGGGTTTTATTCCATTTGCTGAGCTTTCCAGCTGGTCCTCCAAGGTGAAGAGGAGGCTTGAGGCCTTAGATGTAAGACAGGCCAAGAAAAGCAGATTGATCAGGGCAGGCGGTGAAAGCCTAAGTTCAACTCAAATCTCCCCAGGGCTACTGACCTTTTGGTTTTAAGTTGTGTCCCAACTGCGTTTAAATAGTTCAGTAAATCAGAATCATCTAAGGTGCTGCGTTTTTTGTTGTTTGGTTTGGTTTTTGGCCACAGCTTGTAGGGGTATGTAGCATCTAGTTCCCGGACCAGAGATTGAATTCAAGCCCCCTGCAGTGAAAGTCTGGGAGTCTTAGCCACTAGACAGACCACCAGGGACGTCCCTAAGGTGCTAGTTTCAATGCATATTCTCAGGCAGTATGGCTCTGGGAATCCTCTTTCTTAAGCAATTTTTCCCCTTAATTTTTGGCTGTGTCATACAGCATGTGGGATCTCAGTTCCCTGACTAAGGATCAAACTTATGCATCCTGCAGTGGAAAAGAGGTGACATAACCACTGGTCCACCAACGAAGTCTCAAGGGATCCCTCTTTCTTAACAAGCTTCCCTGGTGATTCTTAAGCACACTAAAGCCCCAGAACCCCAAACCATTCTAAAATAAAATCAAAATAAGTTTCTGCCACTCCTTGGTTCAGTGGCAATCTTCTGCCTTATGATAAAGTTCAAAATTCACACAAGACCTACAAAGCCCTTTGAGAGCTAATCCAGGCTCATCATTTCCTCCTCAAAGTCTCTGCTTCAGTCATAAGCAATTACTTGGGGTGTCCTGAATGTACCTGCTCTCTCTCAACTCTTAAGCTTTTGTGCATTTTTGATGTGTAAAGATTCACTGAATGACTGACTAATTGAAACTATCACTGTGCATAAGATCCTGTGCTAGGCATTGGGCAGACAAAGTCCCCATCTCAAATAACTTATAATTTTATCCGGTGTGTGGGGAGGATCAGACTGTGGTAGGGAGGGGAAGCAACATACAAGAAGTGAAAGGAGAAGAGAACCAACTACACTGTGTCAGGCAATGAGTGGGGCTTTATTAATATTAGTTCTTTTCCTCCTTTTACAAACCTATCCAAGTGTATTAGTATTTATTTACTCCCGAGGCTCAAAAAGAGTTAATAATTTGCCCATTATCACACATCTGGCAAGTAGTGTTGACTGAGCTCCTATTATATGCCAGGGAATGAAGGCGTTAGGTACTGTGCCAGTTCCTATAGAGAAAGAAAAAGAGGTGTCATCCTTGCTCTTCTGAACCAAGGTTCAGTGGCTAAGTCATGTCCAACTCTTTGCAACTCCCTGTCCTTCACTATTTCCCACAGTTTGCTCAAACTCTTATCCATTGAGTCAATGATGCTATCCAACCATCTCATCCTCTGCCACTCCCTTCTCCTTTTGCCTTCAATCTTTCCCAGCATCAGGGTCTTTTCCAATGAGTCAGCTCTTTGCATCAGGTGGCCAAAGTATTGGAGCTTCAGTTTCAGCATCAGTCCTTCCAGTGAATATTCAGGGTTGATTTCCTTTTGATTGACTGGTTTGATCTTGCAGTTCAAGAAACTCTCAAGAGTTTTCTCCAGCACCACAATTCAAAAGCATCAGTTCTTCGGCACTCAGCCTTCTTTTTTTTTTTTTTTACATGTATTCCCCATCCCGGTCCCCCCTCCCACCTCCCTCTCCACCCAATCCCTCTGGGTCTTCCCAGTGCACCCGGCCCGAGCACTTGTCTCGTGCACCCAACCTGGGCTGGTGAACTGTTTCACCCTAGATAATATACGTGTTTCAATGCTGTTCTCTTGAAACATCCCACCCTCGCCTTCTCCCAGAGTCCACAAGTCTGTTCTATACATCTGAGTCTCTTTTTCTGTTTTGCACATAGGGTTATCGTTACCATCTTTCTAAATTCCATATATATGTGTTAGTATACTGTAATGGTCTTTATCTTTCAGGCTTACTTCGCTCTGTATAATGGGCTCCAGTTTCATCCATCTCATTAGAACTGATTCAAATGCATTCTTTTTAATGGCTGAGTAATATTCCATGGTGTATATGTACCACAGCTTCCTCATCCATTCATCTGCTGATGGGCATCTAGGTTGCTTCCATGTCCTGGCTATTATAAACAGTGCTGCGATGAACATTGGGGTACACGTGTCTCTTTCAGATCTGGTTTCCTCGGTGTGTATGCCCAGAAGTGGGATTGCTGGGTCGGCACTCAGCCTTCTTTATGGTTCAATTCTCATATCCATACATGACTAACACGACTACAGGGAAAACCATAGCTTCGACTACACAAACCTTTGTCAGCAGTAATGTCTCGACTTTTTAATATGGCGTCTAGGTTTGTCATAGCTTTCCTTTCAAGGAGTAAGCATCTTTTAATATTTTTTAAAATATTTATTTATTTGGCTACACCAGGTCTTCCCTGGTGGCTCAGCTGGTAAAGAATCCACCTGCAATGCTGGAGACCTGGGTTTGATCCCTGGGTTGTGAAGATCCCCCAGGAGAAAGGAAAGGCTACCCACTCCAGTATTCTGACCTGGAGAATTCCATGGACTATATAGTTCGTGGGACCGCAAAGAGTCAGACACGACTGAGTGACTTTCACTTCACATTGTTGAGCTTCCCTTGTAGCTCAGTCAGTAAAGAATCTACCTGCAATGCAGGAGACCCAGGTTCGATTCCTGGATCAGGAAGATCCCCTGGAGCAGGAGATGGCAACCCACTTCAGTATTCTTGCCTGGAGAATTCCATGGACAGAGGAGACTGGCAGGCTACAGTCTATGGAATTGCAATATTCGAACACAACATAGCAACTAAAAGCAAACACCAGGTCTTAGTTGCAGCACGTGGGAACCTGGGCTCCCTGCGTCGTAAGCGTGGAGTCTTAGTCACTGGACCACCAGAGAAGTCCCTGATCCCAGGTCTTCTGTTGCCATCACACATCTTCCCAGGTTTATAGGATGGCAGAACCATCAAAGAGGAACATGTTAGGTTAAACTTATACTCAGTAAAATGTGGGGGACTCCACTAATCAAATGGTTGTTTAGTTGTTAGCTTCGAGGT